GGGTACTTTCAGAGATACCGTGGACTGACAACAATAAGGAAAGGAGGGGGAAAAAAATATGGACTTAGGAGCCTGCAAAAAAGACCTCTCTCACACCCGAGGGGATGGGATCCCTCCCTACCTCCCTCCCTCCCTCCCTCCCTCCCTCCCTCCCTCCCTCCCTCCCTCCTTCCCTCCCTCCCTCTGCTGATTTCTGCATCTCACCCTCACTATTCAACACTTCGATCGCATGATCGCTTGCCAGTCTTCAAGTTCAAAGCCCCGATCGTAAAAAGATACATGGAGATTGCATCCAACTACGTCGACCTGGAGAAGAGAAGAGAGCGGTTCAGTGCTGGCGCCGACGGCTCTCTCTCGGTCAACGGATACATCAGGACCAACACACCTGGAGGTTGTACGCACAGGCATGCGACTCATTCTAATCTTTGAATTACAGCCAAAGGCCCGCAGCTTCCAAAGATGATCGACCCCGTCTTCAATTACAACTCGCAGGCAAGCTTAACTTCTCACTCCCAGTCCCTTTAATCTTCTCGCAGAACATTCAGGCTTCTCTGTTTGCTCAGCAACGCTCGAGGTATTTCCGTGTCATCTTGCTGGTTTGAGATCTCAAATCTCCTGTCAGTTGTATTATCCCTTCTGCTGAAGATGTTGACATCTGAGCATGAGTATGCCTGTCCCAATGACTCCACCAGCCGTCGCGCTATTGCAAAGATATACCGATGATGCAACGTGCTAGAAGGATCTTCGGTCTCTCTTTGATTGATACAATATCATGTTCAAGTATAAGATATCTTGTTTTACATGCTTCAAACTTATAGTACACCTCCTCAAATGTGACTTCAGGCTTCACATTTCTTGACCTCCAGACCTCTGGAAAACAGCAATGAATCCAACGATAGAAGAAGAAGAGAAGTAAGACGCTCACCCGTGGATCGCCAAGGCTGTCAAAGAACCTGGTGTAATTCCTGACTGTGTTGCTGATCGCGCAACCTTCATTCGTCATCTTGACCTCCTCCTGTCATCAACAATCATCATCTTCCAACTCTCAAACTTCTCTTCTCGCCTGCATCTGACATCTCAGGGAGATGTTCAACACCCCATCATGACTCGCGCGCCCCTGAGACCACCGAGGGGTAAGGCGACTTTACAGGGACGTACAGCTATACAGGAGGAAACTCCAGACTTTGACGGACTTTGCGAGTAACTCGAGCCCTAGGGGACGCTGCAGAGGAGAAGCTCATTCTTCAGATCTCGTGAATCACATCAAACCTGGTCGAAGTTGCTCAAACTGAGACCCAGCCTGCGTGCTCGTCTGCGCGCCCCATGACGTCTCCTTCTTGATTTCTCGTCTTGGTGATTGGGGGAAGATCAGGTCCTTCGACGTCTGCTGCAGAGTGAACTTCAGAGAGTGAGGGAGATCGAGCACGAGAGAGGGAGAGAGAGACAGGGGAAGAAGGAAGGGGGAAGGATGAGGGAACACGTTACAAGTACCTTTGAAAAGGAGGAGTGGGACACATCGACGGGATCGTTGAGAGCGGTGTAGTCTGATCGATTGTTTGCGCAAGCCCCGTTACCTTCAAACCTTCCACCCAAGGATGTTCCAAAGGTTCTTTCCTCGGGATCACTGCCATTGTTCATTGCGTCGGACGTGTGAGAAGCCTGGGACTGCGTCTTCGCTTCCGAGAAGACCGATTCGCGATTCGCATCTCGCAATAAGGACATGCAATATTCAAAGTGATGCCTGTCGGACACTCCGCCGTCCGAGCCGTACTTGTCCATCTTGTCATAAGATGCAGGATTTGATCTGCTGTATTCTAGACCTCTCTTCAACTCACTGTTCTTCACCTGCTCAGCATGCAACTTGAGTTGCAGCTCACGGATCTGCGCCTGCATTGAGGAGATTTTGGTGTCTTGCACGGACGTGTAAGTTTCAAGATCATGTTCCAGCTTGCTGATGCGGTTTCTCTTCACATTCGATTCTTTCAGCTCGTCTTCCAGTGATTTAATTTTCTTTTGCGATGCACTTAACTTGAGTTCATAGTCTCTGAGCTTTTGCTTTAATGCTTGATCAGCATCTGCTTGCGATGCAATGCTCTCCCTTGTTGAATGGAAGGATTCCACCACATCTGAGCAAATTTCCTGCGCTTCCATGCATTTCCATTTCAAGTCCATCAATGAATTTCGAAGAACGATCACATCAGCCTCTCGTTTTTGAACTTTGTGGCGTATTCATTGATGACCTTAGATGCTTTCTCGCGTTGTATTTTCAGCTCTTCGTTTCCTTTTTGAGCAATGGCCTGAACCTCGTATTGCAGTTTTCTGTTCTCTTCTCCCTGCTCAAACATCTTACTTTGAAGATTCTTGATTTCATTTCTCAAGGCCTGCTTCTCTCGATCTGCAACCATGTATGTCCCCTGCATTTGTCGAGACATCGCGCTGTCATACATTGATTTCCTGCAGGTTATGTCAACAGGTATTTGTATCATAATGAATAGTACTGCGCATATTGTTGCATAGCAGATGATGAGACCGGAACCTGCCTATAGGACGATCTACAAATGTTTAGCAACAGCATAAATGAATAGAGAGCACCTTGGATAAATTACTGTATTGTTCATCTCAGCTTGAAACAATTCCAATTCCAAATCTGTCATTGCAACTCGTCAGCTTCAAAACTCTGAGACCTCCTAGCCCGAGGCATTGAGCATTCATCGATCAAATCGTCTCAAGTACAATGCACCGTAGGGGCTAGCCACCACCCCATTCAATGATGAGGTTGTAGTGCCACTTGAGGCTAAAACACTATTGGTAACAATCAGCTTCTACGAGCATGGCGGCAAGCTGATATCATATCACTTTACATTCAACATCTTCATCTTCCATTGTTTCTCTCTCCTTCCTTTGTGCTCTTCTCCCTTTTCTGCCTACCGCCCTCGCGCATTTCCCAATTAAAATCGTCCTGACCCCACCCCCACCCTTCACCACCCACCCCTGGTCGTCGACACATCAACCATCTGATCCACCCCAACCCTGCGCCCCCTGTTACCACCCCCCACCACTTGACTTTGCTTCGACACACTGACCAAAGGACGGGTCAGTTCGGGGTAAACCCCTGGCGGTGGTACATGAACCCCTACCGACTACCGGTACTCACGGTGCAATTTTAACACTACGTTACAGCCCAGCCTGCACTACCCCTACCTCCCTGGATCAGCCCGAACCCCCGGGTACAGTAACCACGAGGACACCGGTCCTGCACTCACTGTCAGACCATCTTGGAAGCTCAGAAAACAAGGGGTCCGAAAGTCGCTAAAGCCGACGGAGCGGCTATTTAGAGCCATGAGCTTCTTCATCATGCTTCTTCAAGTCATCATGCTTCTTCAACATGCTTCTTCAACATGCTTCTTCAACATGCTTCTTCATCATGCTTCTTCATCATGCTTCTTCATCATGCTTCGCGTTATCTTTCTCATGACATCACCAACAATTCGTGTAGAACCATCACTTCTTGTGTCCTGCCCTCAAGTCCTAGCCCCAGTCATGTGTATGATACCCTGGTCTGGTGAAGACGCCGATATGTTTCAGAAAGTCTACTCTGAGCAAATAAACGTTTCATTGGTTAAAGTATCAACCAAGTTGCAAAGAGCATCTGATTGCAGTCTTGAAAGTGATGAGAACTCAATCTGCCTCCCGCATCAGTGCGCTTGTAAAGCAATCTTGCATCTTGGATGATCAATGCCGGCACTAGAAGTTATGGGCTCGAAACGTTAATCACGCACATGTTGTTTATTTCTATACTATCTTCTTCCAGACCCTCTTTTCCTCTCCCTCCTTCCCGCTACCTAGTATACATGCTACGACGCCCGCCCTTTGCTCCCCTCCGCTCACACAGGATTCGCTTTCGCGATGCTCCGGCGCTGCCGTCGAGCGCGTAGAATGGAGTCCAGCACCACTCTGCCGCTGTTGCTGGCCCCTCCGTCCGGGCTGATGATGCTGCCGGAGACAGCTTTCTGCCTCCTCGCTTCCTTCCGGGGCCGGCTCGATGTCAGGTAAAAGGGAGCCGCGGAGCAACGGTATAGGACGACGTCGTCGAGCATCCGGATCGATCTTGAAGAGGAGGCCGGGGACGGGGAGGGGGAACAGGAGCACACGGCGTCAGAGGGGAGGTGTAAGCACATGTGTGGCGGGCGTGAGCGTGGGCGTGAGTGTGGGGAGGAAAGAGGTGTGCCTTTATCGACTTGTTGCCGTGTTTGTGAGGTTTTAACCACAGAGTGGTGCCATGAGGAGCTGACAGCACCAACCCTTATGAATGCCTGGAGAAAAGGGGGGGTGGGGTGGAAGTCTGCTCTAGTCGAAATCATCAACAGAGCTCATTTCAGTGTAAATCTCTTCCCTGCGCTCATGCGGAATGCACGGCAGTGGCGATCCAGAGGCCCTTTTAGGGAGGCTATTCCGGTGAGCCTGGTCAGCAGGCCCGACAGTCACGGGGTGAGTGTGCAGTGGTTACGCCGGAGGAGGCACGGACAGAGGGGTGGTTGGATTAACTGGAAGGTTTCTGGAAAGGTGTCAGGCCCGACAGTCACGAGGTGAGTGTTTAGCGGTGGTTACAGTTACATCAAAAGACTGATAAAGCTCAGCTGGCCGGTGACGAGACAGCGGATGAAAAGAACTGATTTCCTGTACAGCTCATTCCCTGCGCCCCTTTAAGGTCAGCTGGTCACGTGGGTAGTTAAGACCGAAATCCATTCAGTCAATAGGGGGCTTATGGGCGCCAGAGACCTTAGACCTTAGGATTAGCTGTCCTTGCCGTTACACGGCGGTTTTAACCTTAGTCTGATTTTGAGACGTTGTGATATAGGGAAAAAGCAATCGAGTTTTCTTCTAAAATCACTCAATAATTTGTACCATGACCTTAACTTTTAGAGTTTTATTCTCTTTTTATTTCATTTTTGGAAGTGTTGGATTAGTAGTGAAACTGAAATGTTTGTGCAGAACGAGCGCTTGCAAGGTGTGTGAGATGTTAGCTTATGCTGTTGTAGGTGATGTTGCAAGCAAGTACAAGCATGATGAAGAACAGCTTAATGCATACGAGGTGTTGCATGGTCCAATTATATTACTCATGTTCTAATTACAATGAACACAGGAATAAAGAAGGGGAAAACTGCAAAACTGCTCGGATGCACCGCTTCAATACCATCGGCCCTCTAGCGCTCTGATAGCTCTGATTATTCTTGTCCTGCTCACATCTACTTTCCCCGATATTTGTCTTCTACTCAATCTTACCCCGCCTCGACACGAGCTTCACACCATCAGCCCTGTCGAGAAGGAGGGAAAAGTCTGGACTTGGTGCTGAACTCAATCATGCAAGCACGATCAAGGCTAGGAACAGGAGACTCGAGTGTACGATAGATATCAGTATCCAGATGTTCGTGTAGATCTGATCGATGTATATCTGCCTGTGGAGAAATAAACTTTCATTCATCACCCATAGCAAAAAAATTAACTTGATGTCACTGATACATTGAGAGAATGGAGACACTCAAATGATTGTGGTGAGAAATCTTGCGATCAGGAGGCTTCACAACAGCGATGATGATGATGATGTTTATGATGATGATGATGTTTATGATGATGATGATGGAGCTGATGATGATGGCGACGACGACGAGGACGATGACGATGATGATGACATATCTGTAGAAAGAATCTCACTGACTCTAGTCTCTCTAATTTAGCTAAAAAATGGAGTCATTTCTTTTACTTAAAGTTGAGTAAACGTATATAGTTGAGTAAACGTTCAAAATGCAGGAAGCACAATGGTGGAGCAACGATCGGGCGCCGCCCTACAGCAAGGATGATGGTGTGCTACATCAGATCATGTCTTAGGATCATTCTAGGCATAGTTGTACATTACCATCATCAGCTCCATTCTACAGATATGTAGTCACCGCGAGCCAGGTAGCCAGAGCCTCAAGTGATCGTCTCCCCTCTCCCAGCTATAGCCTCACCTATAAATTCATCGACGATAAAGCAGCTCGTCTGACACGAATAGGGCTCTCTCCTCCACCCCCTCCACCGTCACTCTGGCCTTCGAAATGCCCTGGAGCTGCTTACGATGCAAGGCAAGAAAGCCTTCAGGCTGCTCAATGCCCCATACTCCATTATCCTTGTCGTGTACTCACACCTACATGCTTCTCGTGTGCTTACAGCTATATGCTTCTCGTGTGCTTACACCTGTATGGCGCTTCTCGTGTGCTTATACCTATATGCTTCTCGTGTACTGGTGCCTTACAAGTCCATCATATCAGATCACAGTCGCTTTCTGTACAGAGGAAAGCTCGAAATGTGTAAGTTGTCAAACATCCCTTTGAGTTCTGCATCTGATTTGACCTCTCATGGTGTTCACTTCAAAACGCCTAATCCCATGTTCGTAAGGCGGTGAGCGTACAAGTTTGTTGCAGACGATTGAATGATTTGAACTTTGCATATGCTTTTGATTTCTCATGCGGATAACATGAATAGTATGTGAGTATCGCAGGAGCTGTCGTAATGACAGATGGATGTTTCTGACATTTGGTTCGGTTTGAATTCACATCTATCACTAATGGACGAGCCGGGTTGATAGTTTGTGAGTGTATGACAAAGAAGTGAAGACTGATCAGCATGACTTGATTCCCAGGCAACTTTCGACGATGGAGGCGATGGTAGGTGCAGAATTTGTTCCAAGGATGTCAGGTATCATCGCGCGGAGTTCAAAGTCTGCGACGTAAGAAAGAACCTTCTATTTACTTCTATCGATTTGATAGGACTCGCTCTATACAGATCTGCATACAAATCTATTTCTGAAAAGACTTTTGCAGACCACCTACAAGAAATCGTGGTTCAGTTCGAGGTGTATGATGTGCTCGAAACCTCAGAAGGACCATGACTCCTGCTTTGGGATCTGCAACGTAAGTAAATTCTTGTTTTGAGGAGGACGAATCGCCTACTCAATCAATCCAACAGCATGATTTGATTGAACGATGATTGCACAGGCTGTAAGCACAAGTCCTTTCTCTGAAGATAACGACTAATTGACATCAATTTGCTGAATTTTCTGACTCGCGGCTTGGCTGGCGCGGTTGCCGGGCTGGATAGGAGGTAAGCGTCTTTCGATTTGATGAAGTCAAACGATTCTTTTACTGCTCGCCTTGCTCTCTGTTGATAGAATGAGTTGACAATTGAATTTTAAAGCGTGTAAGTACCTCATGTACCAATGAAGCGATCGACCCGTCTGACTCGCTCCCTTCTGAACATCTCTGGGGTCTTGGACTCTCTCGATGAAGAATGTAAGAGGCCAATGAAATGATCGAATACACATCAGATGATTTCATGTTTCATACTGATTAGGCAACATTTAAACCTGGAGAAGAAGGGAAGTGCATGATCTGTTCCAAGCTTGAGAAGTATCATTACCAAAACAAAAGATACTGTAACGTGAGAGAAATTTCTCATGTATGAAAGTTTCTGATATTGATTTCGCACTCTATCCAAAATTGCGGCTTGGTTGACCCTCAACGGTGATTACAGGAGGTCAGTTCCCTCTGATTTGATCCCCTCTAAAATTAAACATTCATCTTTTTTCTATGTACGCTTTTCGCATGTGACCACGTTTTGCACGGGACTGAATAGCATGTGAGTCTCCCTCAAACGATTGTCGTTGAATTGTTCACACTGTACTGACTTGTTCTTCTGCATGTTGCATCTGTGATGGAATAGACGGTAAGAATCTTTTCGTCTGCACCGTACCTGCACTGAGATAGCAATGTTTTCTGTTGGTTCATTTCCTCTTGGGAGCTTTGTGGGGCTTTCAGAATGTAAGAGTGATCAGAACGCATGTTGCGTGATCGATCTGACTTGATGCTCATTTGATTTTGTTTCAATGATCTCGCTTACATCGAACGATTGGAACACCGTGCAGTCTGTAAGAATCTTCATCAATGTTACATGTGTGATAAAGCTGACGTTGAATCTTGTTGTGTCACGCGCAATCTCAATGCTGCTGGACAGTACGTAAGTTGCGATGGATGTGATTGTCTCAGATGTCAGTATTTCTGATATTTTCTTGTTTCCTCGCGGATCTTGTTGCTACTGGACGTGCTGGGACTTGGAAGTGCGTGAGTACCAGATGAAGCCACATGACTGGAGTTTGGTGCTTCTGACATTGATTTTCTATGCTGTTTCTACTCTTAAACGGGCTGGACTTCTGTGTTCTGATAGTATGTAAGGGTCATGGAGTGTTGCTCAACAAAAACTGACATTTTTCTCTCCTTCGTCATTCAAACGGATTGATTGTCCTTAGTGCTGTGTAAGAAATGCCTTGTACTGTTCTTTATGAATCTCCTCTGAAGTCTTTTTTGTTGAATGTGGGATTTTAAACAACCTCATCAGAACGTAAGTTGACAAACATTCCTCAAGAAACATATCTAACATTGCATTCCAAACAACCTTCGTTTCAGTGCGCCAAGGCTCGGGGATGGCAAGAGTACGATCAGGTGGAAAGACTTGATCAGAGCCAAGTTCGTACTGATCTGACTGATGGACCTTGTAGTACGGATGCAAGCACTGCAGGGAGCGACCTGGAGAAGGCGACGTGGAGCAGGAAGGCGAAGGGAAAGATCAAGGGGAGAGGATGCCGAAGAATGAAGAGGGGGAGAGAAATCAGGAGGAGGAGCAAAAATTGAGAGAATCAAATGACCGAAAGGAAAGAGCTTGGGAGGAAAGACCCGGGGAAAGAGACCGGCAGCTTGGAAATGTGGCCAAAGAATCAGATCATTGGAATCTGCGATTAGACGAGTTACGCAAGGAGAGAGAAGCAGAGGAGCAGCGACGGAGGGAGAAAGCCAGCAAGCGAGATCTCGTCTCTCAACAGGTGGAGCAAGTTAGTTCAGGTGCGTTGGGTTTGACGTCTCTTGCATCTCAGGTGGGCGGCATAAAGCAGGTAGACTTTTGGCAGTTCACTGGGATGCGGCAAGTCGGCTCGGGGTCCTTCAAGCTCGTCTACAAGGCCCGTTGGCTACAGAGCCAGAGGGAGAGCCAGGTCGTGGCGATCCTCCGAATCCGAGGAAGCGGATCCTTTGGGAACAACGAGGAGTTCGAGAAGGAGTTGCAAATCTTTCAGCAGCTCGGCCGCCATCCCAACCTCTTGCGCCTACTCGCTGTCACCATCGATCCGGCCTCTGGCGACAGCTGCCTCGTCACAGAGTTCGCGCCCAAGGGTTCTCTCGATATCATGCTGTCCGAGTTCGCCGAGAAGCAGGAAGCTGTCAGCCTGCTTGTGCAGCTGCAGGTGGCGAAGCAGATCTGCGACGGGATGGTACAGCTCTCGCTGCATGACGTTGTGCATCGAGACCTGGCAACGAGGAACGTGCTTGTCTTCAGCCTCGACGTGCGCGATCATCTCGGTGTCTGCGTCAAGATCGCTGACTACGGGCTTTCCATCGTCGCCTCCCGAAGGCAAGGAGAGGGTCAGGGAGCGAGCGTCAGCACAGCAGGGACGGCAGCTCGGCCGGTAAGGTGGATGGCGCCTGAGAGCATCAGGAGGAGGCAGTACTCGGAGAAGAGCGACGTGTGGTCCTTCGGCGTTACCATGTGGGAGATCTGGACGCATGCTGAAGTCCCTTACGGCGCTTGCACTGATGACGCGGCGCTGGGATGGAAGGTGGTGGAGGGAGAGCGGCTTCCTCCTCCTCCAGATTGTCCTGCGGCAGTCTACACCATCATGCGGGAATGTTGGAGGGAGAATAAGCACGAGCGTCCGAGCTTCAGAGATTTGCAGCGAAAGCTCCAAGAGCAGTATGATGAAGCTGTCGCACGGCGATCGAGACAGGGAGAGCCCAGGGAGTGGGAGCGGGAAGCAGAGCAAGGCGGAGAGTCTGAGCAAGTAGGAGTGCAGCACTGCGTCATCTGCTTGGAAGGGAGGGCTGACTGGGCGCTGGTTCCCTGCGGTCACAAGTGTCTCTGTCAAGTCTGCCAGGAGGGAGCGGCGGAGAGGCCATGCCCGATGTGTCGCTCCATTCCCAGCAGCGTCTGTAAGATTTACTAGAGGGACTCTAACGGTCCTGTAAGAAGGCCCAAGGCTTCGACGCTCACAGGCTGACCCTCTTGTTGTCCTCGTACTGATTTTTAACTGAACTTTGAGTATATGACTGGTTGTTGTTCCGAGTTGAGCCACTGACGGGCCGCCGGGACCAGCCCGGCGGCCCCTCGGCGGAGTTTCCGAACTTCGGAACTGAGTTCCGGCCCGGGTCACCGAGTCGCGCCGGGCCCGGGGCCTTTCAAAGTTTCCGGCCGCCCGGCAGGGGTTGGCCCAAAGGAGAGGGCAGCTGCACCGGTGTAAACTACGGTTATGTGTTTACTGAAAGGGGGTAGGGTGGTACAGGGTGGGCGTAGGGAAAGGGAATGGGGAAGAATAAAATGAGGAGGCCTTGTTTGAGGGAAATTTCCTACAGTTACATGCGAACTAGGAAAGGAAATGATTGGGTGGAATGTAAGAATCATGAAAAGGGGAGTTGCGAATGAACAAGAAGAATCTTGATCAACCCCTCCCTTGACCAGTTCGTCAAAAAGTACCGGGGTTCAGCTGTCCAAAGATGAATGTGCTACGATGGCTCGTGTTGATGCTCTGTTTCATGTTGAGTACAAGCCTCTGGGGATCTCAAGACGACCATCCGCTGCAGCAGAGAACGTGGCATCCAGTCAGAGCGCATGAAGGGGAGGAGAGGTCAGGTGGGAGGTCCACTGGGAGGTCCACCATTGAACCGCCGCAGCTGCTGTCGGACATGGATTCGGTTTCTTACACCATGTTCACCGACGGGATCAGAGTGACCATGTCGCACCCTCAGGGACTCACCATCTTGTACTCCGTCTCCCCATCTCCAGACCCGGACTGCAACTTTCAAGGCCAGCGAGTGGGGCAGGAGTACTCGGGGCCGTTCGAAGTGTGTATCGATCCTCCTCTCAGCGTGGTACGAGCAGTTGCGTGCGATTTCACGAGCGACGTACAGTCGTCTGTTGCAGAGCTGAAACTCTCCACCTCTCAGGTCCACCCGCCCCTGCCCAACAGACCGATCCTGCACACCCTCCAGCCCGGCAGCTGCTCGCTCAAGGATGGGTTGGAAGAGTGCAGTATCCCGAGAGGAGCGGAGGAGCTGAAGCTGCTGGTCATGACGACGGACTTCGAGTGCAACAACGCCAAGTTCGTGACTGCGCTGGACTGCGAGCAGAACGAGTTCCAGTGGGTCCCTATGAGACAGTGCGAGACAGCCAGCACGCTGCGTCCTTGCATCGAGATCTTCTACACGACCGATGGATCGGACCCGACCAACTCCTCCTCGAGGAAGATTTACGATATCTCCATGGGCATTTCGCTGCGAGAGGGAAGGGCAGAGGTGAGAGCGGTCACGCTGAGGGATCGGAGGAGGTACGACGAGCAGACTTGTCGTTGCTGCTGCTCAGCCACCTCCTGCTCCGTGGCTGGTCCCGTAGCAACGAAGATCCTGGAAGTGAAGCTCTCTCCTCAGAGCCGCAACCCCCTCCTTGGCAGTCCTGACGTTCGCTTCCTCGTTGGGACCCCGTTTGCTGTGTTTGAGTCGCAGTACTACAGTGAGAGGTTGAGGTGGAGGACGAAGGCCGCGGACGCCCTAGGGCTCTTCAATCAGGAGATGGGGGACTGGAGGAGGATAAAGGGAGTGTGCATCTGCTCGCAGGAGGTGGGCTGCCTCGATCCGGGGATCGCGTTGGGCAACAGCATGGAGAGCGCGCTGGGGAGTGAGATCTGCTTTCACGCTCGAGAGGGAGGAAACAAGACGGAAGTCTCTTTCTTCATCACCTCCGCTGGTATGTGCACCAGCGGCTCCTCTCGAGATACCTGCATCTCCAACTCCTCCTGCGGTATGAGCGGACTGTGCGACTTGAAGCCTACGTCATGGCTCCTTGCTTATGCCCGACTCCAGGTTATCCTCCTTCTTCCTCTCTCCTCTCTTCTTCCTCCACTCTCCTCTCTCTTCTGTTCTCGCTGCCCCTGCTTCTGCTCCTCACATTTCAGTGCAGAACCGTGACAAGGAGACGATGGACAAGTTGCGGCTTATGGATGTCGAGCAGGCGGAGGTGACGGAGCATCTCGATCTCTCAGCTGTGGAGCAGGAGCTTGGTCTAGCCAACAACTCTGTGCTCTCTCTCGCTAGCTTCTTTGCCGCCCTCCTCCTCGTGTCTGCCTGCGTGTATGCCGGAAGGAGGTGGTGGAGGACGAAGTGCTTGAACTTGGGGCCAGCGATCCGGTCGAGGGGACGAGCAGTGGTGGCGAGTGTGTCGAGGAGTCGCGAGCAGAAGCGACTGAAACGTCACGCCCAGTTCACTAGGATGCAGGAGAGCGCAGAAATGCTGTCGCAGCACTCGGCAAGCGAGAGCACGGAGGACGGGTACCCAGTGGGGGAAGAGAACGGGTCCTCCTCGCTGTGGGC